CCCCAAAACCCCAAAACCCCAAAACCCCGCTTAGAAATATTGAATAGTATTATTGATATTTTATGAAATAGAATTTTGCTACTATAGTATTTTATATTTAGATAACTATTTAACTTCTCAGGATAATAATAATATATTAATATTATATCAAAATGTTCGTAGATTTATCAAGAAGAGGAAGAGCCTAAGTAATCTAGGAGAATTATCAGCCATCTATCAATGCTAGAGAGAGCATTGATTCTTAGAGAGACTTACTCAATCTTGAGGAAAATAAAGCTAATGATATCTCTGAATCTGCAGAAGAAGTAGAACAAAGAATACAACAGGTAATTAGACATCATGAGAAGATCTTATCATTGTATTTTTAGGCTGCTTAAAACAGAGCAAGAAGAGGCATACCTGCAGATGCTCATGAAATTACTAGCCAAGAGTAAAGTTAAGAAATTTGGAGACTTGTATTCTGTATATTATTTGATCTCATTGGGGTAAGTGGAACTTTTTAGATTAGTATTCTTCTCTAATTGATTACTTATCAATAAGCAAATCTAATCAGATTCAAGGTCATCAAGACCTAGATGATTATTCAAGCTTATTTTTTATCTGTAACTTAACTTAAACCTTTCTTTTCAGGTGTTCATTAGTGTAAATATTGAGTTCTTCAATGATGAATCATGTGAGATGCCAATTAAGTTCTGGTTTTTGGTTTATGGAATTATGAGTATCATCTCAGCTTTATATAATGCTGCTTATATCAGAGAAATCATGAAGCTATATATTGCCAAATCATCTGAATCATTCTCATTCCTGATTGATATGTAATCAATTCTGCTCAAGTAATAATATTTAACAGGTCTCTGCTAATAATATGCATTATTGGGCACATTGTGTTATACTTCCCAAATAATAATTGTAAAGGCACCCAGATGAGCAAACTTATGTCTGATGTACTTCTCATCTAGTATCTTAGACTAATCTAAATTATTATGTTGACAATACTCATTCTAATCTGCTGCCCCTTGATGCTATTTTGTGGTTATTTCAGAAACAACAGACCTCAAGCTGCTGATAGTGTAAGTGACTAGAATTTGATTTAATGCAACACCTATAGGGAATTATAAAAAATCTGAACAAGTAAACCTTTGAAGATTTTTTGGCTTTCAAAAGATTCCTTAGGATTTAGAGAAACTCAAAAAGAAATGCAAGCGTGGTATAATCATCTTCATCCAGCGATATAATTGCAAGAAACTCAAATGTAAACATTGATAGCCAACCATTGCTTTAAGAGGAGAATAATGCTACAATTAGCCCAGAAAATCCATATTTGAATATATAAAATGATGAAGAATCTGATCTCACTTGTGCTATTTGCTTAGATGAGTTTTAATAGGGATAGGAGGTAGTACCACTTCCCTGCAAAAATCATTCTTTCCATTTGGACTGTATAGAAACTTGGCTAAAAAAGAATTCGAATTGCCCTGTTTGTAGGTTTAAAGTGACAAAACAAAGTCTTTAGGAACTTAAGAAAGAAATTGCAAGTGTCCAAAAATCAATTAAAGAACAAAAAAGACTAAGCATAAAAGCTAAACCTAGTGATGATTCAATTAATACTTCTAGATCATCCAGTAAAAGTAAAAGCATATTTAAATGAATGGTTTAATATCGCTAGATCTCATCAATAAACTAAGCTGATTTTATTATGGGAATATGATGAATTAATAAATTATAACTGATAAATAATTCCCATTTTCCTATTTTTAATATTTATTACTATATGGGGTTTTGGGGTTTTGGGGTTTTGGGG